CACACACACACACACACACACACACACACACACACACACACACACACACAAAAACACACACACACACACACACACACACACACACAAAAACATTGAGTAATGCTAGGCCACACACACACACACACACACACACACACACACACACACACACACACACACACACACACACACACACACACACACACACACACACACAAACACACACACACAATGTATACATCACTTCAGGGGACATTACATTGACTTACATGCATTTCCTTGAGACTTATCCTAACCCTAACCAAGTCTTCACCCTAAAATGAATGATTTCCCTTATGGGGACCTGCATTATGTCCCCATAAGGGAGGCGAGTCCCCACACGTGACTATTTAACAGATTTAGGTCCCCACAAGTATAGTAATGCTAGGCCACACACACACACACACACACACACACACACACACACACACACACACACACACACACACAAACATAGACACACACACACACACACACACAAACATTGACACACACACACACACACACACACACAAACATTGACACACACACACACACACACACAAACATTGACACACACACAGTTGAATAGGCCCCTCCACAAAGATAAAGTGGCACATGCCAGAATGACAGAATATCTCCTGCCCTCAGCACCCTTTCGAGACAACTGTAGCGTGACAAAAAGCAAGTGGTTACAAAACAGCAGGACGAAGACAGGCTTCTCCATTGTGCACCGGCTAAAATAGGATTTAAATTTGTACAATTGTTCATAGCTTTAAATTTAAATGTTCAAGGCTGCTGACGTCTCATTCCTCCTTAGAGCACAACAAGAATCCTTAAGGCAGCCCTAAAGGCACTAAGTGTATTTAGGTCACAGTGTCAAATGTCGTGTTTGGTTGCAGAGACGCACTGCAGCAGTTATACAACTTCAAGGGCCGTGCTGGCTCGTTCTTATCTGCATCATTTTCATTCTGTTGTTAGAAGGAGGGCTGCAGAAATCAACGCTATCAAGCAACGCTACTTCCTTTGTCTGCTCCCTAATAATAGTCTTAACTCAAAAAGGACCATACAGCAATCATTTCCTCATTTTTGGCAGGATTGTGTTTCTTTTACCTCATCTACCAAAAATAACTTCCATTCCCTTATTATTGGAGTAAAAGCACCCAAGAGCCTAAAAATCCACTCCAAATAAATACCTATTTATTTGATGTTATTTGTGTTTTTGGCGATTGTCTCATTTGTATTGTCATTAACCGAACTTATAATTTAAAAGATATAGCTTTTCAGATCTTGTTTTTTATAACACCTAATTTTAAAAGCCGGTATGGCAGTTAATGCAGACTTAATGATATATCAGTACACATAAATGACAGTGGCAAATCAATGGATGTTCTTGTTGATGGTAGACATAATTCTCCCTACACATATATGAAAACACAGCTCAGTGCTCAGCTGCTCTTCAATTCCTGGTGGTTGTTTTCAGTGAATGATGCAGCATCATTTCACTGGTTATATATTAGGGTTGAATCTGTCATTCCTTTGCAATGATAAGCAGGGTCGAGCTCTTACTCTTCTCTCAAGGACACAGGATGATGGCTCACACTCTTACAGTCTGAGGTTTGTGCACATCTATGGAGCTGAAAGTAATCCTGGTGATGCATTGAGATACACACACACACACACACACACACACACACACACACACACTCATACTCACACTGGGTTATGAGAAGTTGCCGCTTTCACTTAAGAGTGATGGAGGCCACTGTGCTCTTGAAGACCTTGAATGCAGCAGACATTTTTTATTAGCCTTCACAGTCTGTCTCTGAGCTCTGCAGGCACCACTGGTGACTTCAATCAAGGCATAGAAAATTATTTTATATACCAATTAGTAGTTTATTCAAAGGCAATGCATCCTATGTTAACCATCAAATACATGCATTGTTGTAAAATGTATTATATTACATCTCAAATGTTGTGGAGTATCACGTGAAATTAATCGATACACGCATTTTTTTTTAAACATATCAATGAGCCACGATTTGCAGGCGGCCCTGCACATCCTGTCTCACACTAACGTTGGTTATTTTTTAATTATAGTGCATTACTTTTTAGTGTGAGTACAACAATGAATGAGAAAAGCCGGCAACCTTATCCCTTGAGAGCTGTGTCTCAGTAGAATGAGATACTGTATGTCAAATACACATGGATTTATGTTTATACATTCAGACATGATACTCACTTTATACATTGCTTTCAAACTTAGAAGTGTGTTTCTTTGATGTGTTGTATTAATGGTTTAGTTTGTGCTGTTGCCTTTGGGAGTTGTACCTAAAAAGCTTGTTGCTAAAAAGCAGCTGCTGTTATTCGTAGCTGTGCTTTATTGAAGGAGGTCAGTGTGAATATAAAGGGGGTGTGTTTGTTCCTGGAAGAGGACGGAGGTGCTGACGGTGTGTGGGCAGGTGGAGCTCATCCATCTCAAACAGCGAGCTTCGGGGGTCTCTAATTGTTCCAGAGGGAAGCTCCTTCCCCTCTGAGTCTTCAAGTGGACCAAGAGCTATATTCAGCTCGGTGTAAAGTTACAGTATGTCAAGTATCCACAGAGTAATCACAATCAGTAATTCTCCCTTAATGTGCAGCAGCAGTGCCTTGAACTCTCTTCACGGAAATTATATATTTGTTCAGTGTGTTGTCTACTTTGGTCCAGACTGAATTATCCGTAAAGGATAAGCGGCCTTCAAATTTGGTCCAGATATTACAGTCCCCATCAGGATGAAGCCCACTAGCTTTGATGACCTCCTGACTTTTTATTACCACCACCAGCACGTTAAACCTTTCAGTGTTTTTGGTTAAATATATCTGCTTACATAAGATCCATTGACAAGTTATTGTAGAGATTAGCATAAATAATGGTACATATTCATGTTCCTCAAAGAATGAACTGCGATCTCTTTACTTTTATCTAGAGCTACCATCTGGTCAGAAATCTAATTTGTACGGTAATTGAAAGTTAGACAGCGTGTTAAGTGCTAACAATTAGCACAACTATTAGCGTTACTTTAACACGTTGTACTGGGTGAACATGTTCAAAATTATTCCTGTTATATCAATATTGTGCAAATTATTTTAGCATTTAGCTCCAAGCAATGCATCAGTTAAACAACAACAGACCCTTAGGGCCCTTTCTTATTTCTCTCATTTCCCCCCCTCGACTCCTCGGCTCCTCTGCTCGCATCTCCTGTGGGCGGGACTAAGACACGAGGATAGGAGTCGAGGATAGGAGTCGAGGAGGGGAAATTAGTGAAATGAGAAAGGCTCTTAGTGTTGTTCATTTATGATAAGATAGAACAATATTAACAATGATGATAAGAATTAAACATTGCTACTGTAGTGTGTTATATAGGTTTTTGTGCATGTAAATGGTCTGCAGAGGCTAAGATCCCAAAGTTCCTCCAGAGAGAGTTTCTGAAAATGAGACAGAGTACGGCCACTTTAAATTGTCGGTCCAAACTTTTCTGTAGCTTTATGCATCACTCCTGACCCCTCTCTGTCTCTGTCACATCAAAATATGTATGATGTGTGTTGATGGATGTTTTAGTATCTTACAGCCATAACTCATTGTCCTGCTTGGGGGCGATGAAAGTATAATTTATTTCTGTTCCAGTCCAACAGCAGAAAAGGACACCTCCTCTCTCGATAGCTAATGTATTATTAGCTAACGGAAAGGGGGTTTAATTAGCCGTATGACTTGTAGCCACCGCGCCCTGATTGAACACCATAAACAATCCCCTGGACTGCAGTCATTTTGGTTAAACTGTCTTAAGCCATCTTTTCTTAAGGTCTCACATTCAACATCCATCATTTGTTTAATCAGGAAAGTCAAGATCAAGGTCAACGTGCATTAAACGACACAAAGATAACACATAATATAAAAGTGAAATCCAAAGTCTAGTTATGCATAATTCATTTTCAATATTAACAATTAACTTTGAATGAGTCTTTAACACGCTTATTGTTTAGAGAACACAGGTTGTGATATTTAAGCTACAACAAAATGGATGATTTCAATAAAAGATTGGTCTAAAAAAGTAAAATATGTCTTTTAAATTGCTATTTTTTTCTCAATCGACTATCCAAAACGCAGGATGTTTATTTTCTAATAGCAAACAGTCAGATTTGAGGAGCTTTTAGTGCATTTTTGCTTCACCAAAATAGTTTTTGAGGCAGTATCTCATTCTTTGGTAGCCTACTCGTTCCCTACCTGTTGGCAATTCATTTAATCTAAAAGTCAAAATTAGAGTCATTAGAGTCTCATTCAGAGAGTGTGGGGACTGGCTGTTGATTAAGAATTGAGAGCAGCTTGATGTGATTCCCCTCTCTGCCAATAAGGGTGTGTTTCTATTGTTCTTACAATCATTTCTTGTTTATCTGGTAGCTTGTTGGTTTGATAAGGTTACACCTAATGTTCTCATTCAGCTGTCCAGAAGTGTCAAGTTTTGAAGAGTCTTACGAGTGTTGTAATCTAATCAAGCGTGATATTGTCTTCATTATTCTTTGGAGCACTTTGAGGAGATTTTATATAATATGTTAGACCTACACTTTAGTAAATACAAGCTATCTTCAATGTGTGAATGTGGTGCCACCTTATTATAATAACAGATGTATGCTTACATACAGATAACATAATCCAATCCACTCCAACTTTTTTTATATAGCACATTTCAAAACAACAGAGTTGACCAAAGTGCTGTACATCAAAACATATATAAAAAAGCAGCATAAATACATTTAGACAAAACCGATAGGACAAAAATAAACTAATGTAAAAGCACGAGACAATAAAACCATACTTTAGCCACAGACTGAAAACCCTCATACATGATGTAAAAACATACAACTAAATAGAAAACCCCATTTTAGAAACATAACAGTAACCTGAATATATTTAATCTGTACGAGTTGTACCAGTGACTGATGATCTGTGATGCGTTGTTCCCCCGCAGGACGACCCACTCGAAGGGGAAGGCCGACGGAGCGGAGCTGGCGGCTCTGGCCTCCAACAACGAGTCCAGCATCGCCCGGCTGGTGTCCACAGAGCTGTCCCCCTCCTTCTACCAGCCAGGTCAGTGGCTCTGAGAGGAAGACTCATCATTGGCTATAAACACAAGCAGTTATTTTCACCTGGATTATTCTCTGGTTAAGACTCATATTTATCCATTTCCATTTCATCGTTTATTTAGCAGGGACAATGCACATTAATGAACACTTAAAACAAACAAATGCAAATAGTGTAAATATGCCGGATTTTTGCTTGGAGCTCATTTCCATCCACAGTCCCTCACATAAAACATTTAAGAACATGACAATTATACACATTGCAAAAACAAATACATGACATGCAAAAAGTGCAAAAGACCAAGAGCAGCACACACAAGTATTTACCACATGGCAGTACAATGTAGCAGCAACGACATATTAAGTGCAAGAGATGATACAAGGGCTACCTAAAGTGCGAGAGGAGATACCCCTCTATTAAAGTGCATTTAGCGGTGATCGCACGTCGGTTTGTTTGTCAACCATTCTTTAAGTTGACCTTTGAAGCTATTGAGAGTGGGACAATCCCGTATCTCAGTTGGGAGGCTATTCCACAATGAGCTGCCTTTAACGGAGAGGACATTTTGTCCAAAAGTGGTCCGTCTACGGTGGACTTCACAGTCTCCTCTGGTTTCTGACCAAGGCACAC